CCCCAAAACCCCAAAACCCCAAAACCCCCATTAGATATTAAATAATTGAAAAAGATCGGATTGGGTGAATAATTTACCTGTAAAGTTCACTTTTTACAAAATTTGTTGGATCCTTATAAGATATGGTGTTTCTTCTCTTGTCTCATCCAAGCTTGGAGTTCTTCATATTGGGACAAATTTGCCAGAACTTCAGAGTTTCATCTATTGATCCAGTAACAGCAACGTCCTGGTCGGGATTCAGAGTCATATAAAGAGCTCGTGTTTTATGAGCCTTTATAACAGCAGTCCGGTTAAGTGTCTTGTAGTCCCATAAAACAAGACTGTTCTGCGTTTCATGGCCAGGCTCGCCATGACCGTGAGAAGATACTAGAGCACCAGCCTTTTGAGAATACTCTAGAGAGCAGATTTGAGTTTTAGCTGCTATTTTATCGATTCATTTACCATTTTTAGTATTCCAGAATAGGATATTTCCATCCTGAATACCTCCTCCACTTGCTAGCATGCCATGCTTGAATGGAGACCAAGCAATTGCTTTCACAGCTGCTTGATGGTCTTCATGAGTATATATCGGTTTCTTGGGATAGATAGTACTCCAAATTTTTAATTTGTTATCATTCCCACCTGAAGCAAGATTACAGCCATCCGGAGACCACTTTACTCCAGTGATTTCCTGTTCATGAGACTTTAGTATCCGATATGTACTCAGCTCCATCCTCGGATCACTGAGATATATGTTATAGTCCTGAGTTCCGATTGCAAGAGAGTGAGACGACCAGGACAGGCAGCCGATCCGAGATCGATTTGCTTCTAAATACAGGCAGATTGTCTTCTTGATAATTTCTTTATTAAGATCATAAATTCTTACATAGCCATCTTTTGAAGCAATAGCGAGATCTTTCCCATCATTGGTCCATCAAACAGAGGTAATTGGAACATTGTCCTCATCGTCATCCACTTTAATACTGTTAATAACTTTTCCAGTGATCGAGTCCCAGAGATGTCATCAGCTGCCCAAGGCAACTGCGATGTAGCCTTGATTACCCCACTTGAGGATGTCAATATAGTAGTCATCCTTGAGTGAGGGTGCATCAAGGACCTTATAAGCACTTTTTGGGACATTCCAAATTTTACCACATTCATATCCAAATTTAACGGTTCCCCTATGATAAGATCATTCTAAAGGCTTTTTCTTTGACTTCTTATCCGCCATGTTCATCAATTTCTTACCTCAGTAGGTAGGATTTTCCTGATAAAGTTGTGCAACATCGGTAAATTCATCATCAAGCATGAGAGAGTAGAGGATATTATTGTAATATGGCGTTTGGCTGACTCATTTTTCAGTCTTTTCTTCCTCAGAGCTTTGAGCAGCATCCTCTGATTCTTCAACATCAACGTTACTATCTTCATCCCAGTGAAATCCTATTTTTCTGATTCTTTTAGAAATATTTGAAAAGTTAATATCATCTGTAGTGTTAGGTGTCCCTTTTTGGGCTCTTTTGTGCCTAAGGTTATATCTGCGATCGTCAGCTAGTTCCATCCATTTTTCTGAAGCAGGAGTGCTTGCGTCCCTTTTTGAAATGAACCTATCTTTCATTTTAGAGTGTAAAATTAAGATCTTGAGGCTTAATGAGCATCAAAAGCGTATAACTTATACTTTGTAATGCAACTAGAAAAATACTCAATATTCGCGTTTAAATAAGGGGTTTTGGGGTTTTGGGGTTTTGGGG